TCTTGCAGGAGTGCAGGTGGGGAGTGGGATGTCCGAGAGGAAGGGGAAAGGTGTTGGAAGACTCTTGTGTGACCCACCTCAACTCCTCCTGTGGGGAGGGTGTTCAGCCTTCAGGAGACAAAAATACAGGGACCATCCGCACTGTGCAGAGCTGGCCCTGGCTGCGCACATCTGCCCTGGCATCCACTGTCTCCTATTCAGAGCCTTCTCCTCCAAGAAGCTGGTCCCTAGGCTTACATGGAAAGGGACATCCCCCATGTGTGCAAGTATCTTGCTAAGAGAAGTGGTTTTGTCGCCCTAGAATGAATCCCCCCCATCAGTAGGATAATGCTCCTGCATGGAATTGCCCTGCATTTTCCCAGCCATCCATGCTTGAAGCAGCATGAAATCAGTGCAGCCCCCTTGGGAGGCAGGATGGGGGACTCCGATGGGACTGGGACACCCCGGTGTCCTCTCCTTACACGTGAAGTTGAGGGAAGGAGGCTCCATCCGTTCCCAGGGAAGACGGTGGTGCTGGAGAAGGAGAGCACAAGGAGGGGCTGCCTCTGCCACCAGGTTTTGGGAGTCACCCGGGCCCTGCGGTGGGAGTCCAAGGGGAGCCAAGAACAGCAGTAGCTGGATTTTGGGGCATGCTTTGAACGGTAAAACCTCCTGCCACGGAAATGGCAACTGCTAAGGAGCACTTGTCCACCAAACCGCCTGGTCCCACGGCACACGCGGTTCACACGGAGCGGGGGTCCTTCCCAAGGGGAGGTCCTTTCGGCCAGGTCCCTCCCGGCAAAGGTACCCCCGAGGGGGTTTAGGAGTGACCGAACGCCAATGGGAAAGGTGAGGGTAACTCCGGGGTGTATGTCCTAGTGCTATACGCATGGATACATGCTTTTTAAAGAAGATGTCCCCAACAGCGAGGAAGACCCGGACAAGACCAGACTAGCTCTCACAAAACCCATCTCCCCATACATCTCGGCTGTCAGAGACACCCCTCCCGCAGAGACACCCACACTGAGCCCCCATCCCCTGGCACAGACAGCTTTTCCTCTTCTGAAGAGAAGTCCCCGTCACGATACAAAGATTTCAAGCGATAGCAAGTCAGCCGTGCCCCCAGGTAAATCATCCTTCGGTTAATGCCACTGTTTCAACTTTACAGCGAGTTTCCAACCTGAAATTCACTCTCATTATGTCTTTGCCTGCTTCAGTAAAGAGCCACGAGCTATTAGAAACCATCTCTTCATTTATCTACTCATGAATATTTGTTTAATTTTGGCTCCCGTGATACACAGACCTACAAGAAGGCCTCGTTGAGCCCATCCGAAGAGAGGCACTGTCCCAAGCCCCACTGTTGAACTAGGGTATACTTTCATTTGCTAACAATACGAAATGAAGATTAATTAATTAATGCATCACCAAGAAGTGAATTTGGCTCCCTAGTGCGGAGAAGTTAGGGCAAAGCTCACATCTATTTTGGGCTGTTTATAAACTGCTTCCTAGTTACCCAAGTTTGCACTTTTCATCACTAAGAAGACGTGTTATTATGTAGTTACAGTACTTCTAAATATACTCACCCCTCCCAATATTTAGAGGGGAATGGGGGTGCCTGGAGCCAGTCCAAGAACAGAGCAATGACTGCAAGAAGAACTGTGAGATGGGCAGAAACTCAACCTTTCCCTTTAAAATACCTTAGTTTACACTTTGGAGAAATTCCTGCACATCCCAGCTAACAGACGACGTCCCACCAGGCACTGCACAAAGATGGGGCAAAGGAGGGATGGACGAACAGGAGGGAGGAGGAAAAATAACAGGGAGACAGGAGTGCAGCAGCTTGGGTCAGCGTGCGACCAGCCCCGTGGGGATGCTGCTGCCCCGGTCCCGGTCCCGGTCCCGGTCCCGGTCCCGGCAGGCTGCGGGGAGCCGGAGCGGCTGTTGCACCGCGGGGTCTGCGACACAGTCACCTCCCAGCTTTGCAAACTGAGTTTTAGCAATAACGATACAGCCCGAGGCACCGCTGCGGAGCTGGGCTAGGAACTCCCTAACATTTTCTATCCTCAGTGCCTTCATGCAAGGTGACTACGAACCTATAAACTCTCTGTAGTTCAAGGACAAGAATCTGACCTCCTGTCCCTCCCTACTGAAGAGACTTCACAGAGGCAGGATAA